AATTTCACTTCTACTTAAAGGATTTTCTATAATTTATTATTATACAAAATATAAGGAAATTCAAACTATAAATACATAATAGAATAAGAGTGAATACTGGACTTTCAAAAGTCATACCTTAAAGAAAAACTTTTTCTAAGACAAGTAGTAATAGCATATATGAATAATACTACTTGGATTGCCAAATCCAAAACTGATATAAAATGTATTTTAAAAGATATCAAATAATTTTATCAGATAAATAATTCACAAATAAATAGTGAAAAATTTATTTTTCTAATCTTCAATCAGAACAGTATTGACTCAGGTATAGTTTATACAAAAACAAACAAATTAATAATTAAATAACTAAACAAATATAATCAAGCAAAATTTCTGGATACCTGATTAGAAAGAAGATATAACAATTAGGATACTATTAATCTATTCAAGACAAAGATTAGAATAGTAATCCAGGCAATTAGTAACAAAAGTCTAATCAAAAAACATACTAAATATATTATTAATAGATTTCCAATTTCTTATATAGAATACAGAATACAATACATATACTTGAATAAGAAAGTTTGCAACAATTTAATAGCTATATATAGGAAAACTTTCAAAAATAAAGCTCTAATTTATAAAACAATGTCAAATAATTACATATATAACAAACAAATTTATGGGCTCAAAAGTGTATGGAAAATCTAACTCAAAAGTTATATAACAATACTATTCTATCAATTAAATAACAGCGAAGCTTCAGGAATTACAACAGTTATCTGACTTAAACAATTCAACTCAAATACTATAAGCCTAAAAATATACTTAACAATCTAGTAAAAATCAAGACAATTGAGAAGGATAATCTGGCTGCTGCAACTCTGGCCATAGTAAAGAAATTTCAAATTACAAATAATAGCTAAAAATAAAAAAAGATCTTTAATACTTAAGGAGGTACCATATTTATTAAAACAATTATAAATGATGAAAAGGAATATATAAAAGCTATCCTTTTCTAAAAAGAAACAAAATAATGTTTCTGAATCAACTAATTAATATGATTATATTAATAATAAGAGAATGGAGAGTAGTTCAAATTCTTATTAGTACTTGTAAAGATCTTATTCCAAGTTGATATATATAATATCAATCAGAACAAAGATTATAGAACAACAAGATCTATTAAAACAGTCTTATTGAACTCTAAAATAAACTGAACATAAACTTTAAATAGTAAAAGTAGTTTCTAAAACTGACAAGTGAAAAATAAATTAAGGGGTTTTGACTAAAACAGCAGAAACTACTATAGAAAAATCAAAATATAAAACAAATGAGTACTTTTTATACCATATTAGCTTACCTAGAATTCTATTACAAATAGTACTACTTGTCATCCCTATATATTCAAACAATTGACAATTTTACATATCTTTCAAACCTGGTTACTACCATAACTAAATAAACAAGAAAGCATTATAAAAAAAAATCTACTTATACTTTCAGGAAACCTTATATACTAGCAGTTACAATACTAACAAATGGATCAAATATTATATATTTGTTAGGACTAGAAGAGATTGAGATACAAATAGAGAATTGAAAAGTCAAACTGATCAAATAGATTATACAATTAGAGAAGTATATAACAGATATAATAAAGAGTCTTAAATATAATTATAAAAGAACATAAAACAATTTACTTTCTTTATTGATGGATCTTACAAGTAATGTACAAAAAACAAGAATAAACTCAAAATGGATCTTGCATAGATTTAAATTAAGAATAATATAATAACCAACCAATTCTTAACAAGGATAATATTATTACTATTAGCTATAAGAGCAAAAATTCTAGTCATATATACTGCAATCTTTATAATACCCAAAAAATGGAAAAGCAATCATATATACAGATTGTAGTACAGTTATCAAAATATAAAAGACAATTCAATTACAAAAGTTTATTTCCATAAGGAAATGAACTAAAATGACTAACTGATTACTATAGAACTGAATCAAGGATCTAGTACAAAAAAAAATTTTTTGCCTTATACTTAAAAAAATTAAGATTTATTAAGACAATGAGTTCAACAATATAATGGCTAGATTAGCAAAGCAGGCCAGAAGAGAAAACCCATTGATTTGATAATAAACACTTGATCTGAATCAAGTTCTTATAATAATAGCCTAAAAGAAATATACTATTAATATTAGTATTGGAAATTTTCTTAAAAAATAGAACATAAAGAAAATAGGACTAGCCTGGATTAAGCAAAAACATATTCAAGATTGATGAATATACTTTAGTAAAGAAATTGACTGATAAATTTTCTAGAGACAATTCAATTTATACAATATCTTTTATATCTCTTTTAGTATCAATAAGGACAAGAGTTTTCTAATAAATTTAATTTAGAAGAAGCTTTTTACCCACTAAGTGATATAGAAAAGAAAATTAAACTTATATTTAAATATAATATGCTTAATGTATAAGTCATAAGAAAAAATCCTAAAATATTATTTTGAATATCTCAAGACTTAAAACAAAAGATTAATTATATGAAATAAAACTCAAAGTAAAATTTTTTAGTACATTAGAAAAACAAAAGATCTACATTATATAATAAGAGTCAAATAGAAGTTAAAAGAGTAATAGGAAAATAAATTTAAGATATTAAACAACAGGATAAAAGCTTATATAACATAGCCTATGATTTTATATATGGAGATAAGATCAAGATTCTAAAAAAGTATCTCAAAACCCTCAAGATCTCAGTAATAACAGTACAAGATACTATTGATAAATATTGTAAAAAAATAAGAAAGATCTTCAAAAAAAAAGTTTAAAACAAGTACTATAGTATTATTATCAAATGAAAACAAAATCAAGAAATTACTAACAAATTTAAAAGGTTTAAAATATCAGCTGATACAACTAGAAGGATGGTTTGAATTCCTAAAAAAGAAGTCAACCACTTTTCTATTTTTTTTTTTCAGAAATATAACAGAAAAAGAAAAAAACTTAAAATAAATAATGTCTTAAAGCAATATAGTAGATATATTATAATAAGTAGTTGAATATTTAAAGATTTTAAATGATTTGATTTTTAATAATAGTTAGAATTTCAGAAAATCTTAGCTGTAAGTAATAATCTAAGTTACTAGAAGATAATCCAAGCCACAAAAGAAACAAAATATTATTTTCTAAATTGTATCTAGAGAAAATTAAACTTTGTAAATGGATGAGTTAATATGTGAATGTCATAGAATATATAAATATTAAAATATATTTACAATAAAATGGACAAGCTATATTGGTCTAATTATAAGTTAAAAAAAAAAAAGAAAGAAGAAAAATTAAGATTAAATAAATATTTATGAAACATTCATTTAAAGTTTATATTTGTAGAATTTTTTATATAAAAAAAATAATTAGTTTTTATATCTTCAAAAAAAAATATAAATTAAAAATATTTTGATTAATAGTTTGTTTATATAAGTTAATAAAATATATAATAAAAGATAAGAGTTCTAACAAAATAATAATATAAAATATCAGATTAAGTTTATAATTATTCTTTTTACCTTTGTTTTTTTTTTATTAACCATTTTTTTTTTTAATATTAAATAAAAAAAAATGATTATAAATAAAGATTTAAATAATTAATGATTAAATTATAATATATTTTAGTTCGTATTGTGAGATACAATAAATATTATAATATGAGTATCTTTAAGAAAAAATTTAATTGTCAATTTTTTTGTCAAAACTATAAAACTTTATAACTAGTTTATTAAATTTAATAAATAGTTTAACTATAGAATATACTATGTTAATCGAATGAATTAAACTTATATATTCAATTGATTAATAAACTATAGTTTGACCTGGCTATGAGTATTGCGAAAAAAAAAAATTACTTTTTAAAACTATAATTAATTTAGTATTAAAATAAAAAATTATGCCATTTCACTTTTATAATTCCGGCCAGAATTACCAAAAATGCGCCACAATGCACATCATAATGAAAATTTGTATTTAGCGCACTTACAATTCCGGCCAGAATTAAAAAATTTGGCCCTGTATGAGCCACAATACCCATTCCCTTTTTAAAGTTGTACATTATATTACTTATTATATTTTTAATTATTGCTACTCTTATGATTAAATATTTAATACTCAGTACGGGAACGTTTCCATTATGCTGTACGATAAATTGGTTCCTTATTGTAAAAGAAGTAAATTAAAAGTCCAATAATAGCTATTAAAATCACACCTCCACAGATGCTTACACTTAGGATTAACTTGAAATTGTTTTGTGATTGATTTGGTAAGACAGCGATTGTAGTCGCGTCTGTAGTAGATGTACTTGTATTAGGTGTAGAGGTGGTAGTTACATTTGGACTAGATATACTTGTGGGATTGGATTGATCGAATGTTGTTGTCCATGAGTATGTACGAAAGTCAAATAAATAAATATTATTAGAATTCGTTCCATTAACCATTTTTCCTAAGATGAAAAGCGCGATTAGTTTTAACCTCGTGTGCAAATTAATATGCAAATTATATAATTACCAAAAGCAACTATCATATAATTTCCAACAACGTTAGCAGTGTGTTTAATAAGTGGTGGGGGTGAGTTTGCAGTAGAAATATTTGGTATGATCCATGAATATGAGCTAGAACTTATATCTAATAAAACCATAACTGGTTGCGATATCGCGCCTGCACGATTATATGAACCTCCGTATACTAAGATTTTATCGTCCGGAGCTTTTTTAATTGATTGATTAGTACTAAGTTTACTCATCTGACCAAAAAATTTTTTATAAAATCTGGTTTTACCTAGAACAGCTGTATGCGAAAACCGTGTGTCAATCAATGATCCGCCTGCTATCTAAAAAAAGAAGGTCGATTAAAAATCATATTCCTAAATTATATTTGAAGAATTGAAGTTTTACACTTACAGTTGTTGACCATTGATATGTTGCAGTGTTATACACTAATATCTAAGTTATAAAATATTAGTTTGCTTATGAATATCTATCATGACCGTGTGTTGCAGTATCTGTCTACTTACTGTATTGATGTCGACTGCTTTGAACCCATCAGTATATCCACCAATATATAGGATTTCACCGCTATTTAGTAAGACACCGGTGGCGAGTGTCCTTCTAAGTGTTGTATTTACACTACCACCATATGACCACGTTAAATCGATTGTATTTAGTATATAAATATCACTATATGTCACTACACCACCTCCACCATCTCCACCAAATAAATACATATTCCCATATTTATCTATCACAGATTTTACGGCTACACGTGGAGTTGGTGTAGGTGACGTTCCGCTAATAGAAGGCGTTTCCCATATGTTTTGAGAGGTCGAAAATGTAAAAACAAGATCACTATTATCAGCACTTCCATTTACAACATAAGTTAATAGACCACCGAATATGAATATCGTTGAATTATCGGAACCACCTGTACTTGCTGTTACAAACGCCCCATCTACAGGCAATTGAGATGGAATATCAACAAGCGATGGCAAGGAGCCCTCAAAAGGTTCTGATAAGTCGAGGTAGAATAAATCCCTTGACCAACCGACATCTGTTACACCACACATAAAATATAGTTTCTCCCCTACTAATGCCGACGCAAATGCATGACGTGCATAGCGCTCATCGGTTGGCAAAGAATTTAAAACGTCGAAAAAACATGTTAATAAAATTATCAATGGTTTCAGAATCAACATTATTATGAAATAAAGAGCAAAGATATAATTACTTATCAATAATCTTGAGATGGCCAAAAAGAAGTGCTCACAATGTAAAAAACACCGATAAAGAAGGTATGACGGAATTTAATAAATAATCCGTGTAACGCCGTTTTAAGTATATTAAATACACGAAATTAATTGAAAATCTTTGATCACTGATTGTGCAACAACCAGTAACTCAAACCAGAAATAGTAAATTTTATTAAAAAGCGAAAATATACTTTATTATATCGCCAATAACCAATTCTTTCTCCTTATACATTAATTATTTGCTCGAATCTCGCCGGTATCTTTTGGAACTTGCCCCATTCCTCGGTCATAAACGTTTATAACTCATCTAAACTTTTATGTTTTCTTTTCTTCACGTTTCCTTAATGATCCCCCATAAATTTTCGATAGTGTTAAGATCAGATTGTTCAACGGCCACCCGATAAGGCAAGAAACTATTTTAATAAAAAAATCTTTGGCCAGGCAACTTGTATGCTATCCTGCTGAAGCCGCCAATCGTCACCCGTCATTTTTTTAATTTCCGGAAGTGGGTTTTTTAGAATTTTAACATAGAATGATGCATCCATCTTTCCTACAAAACAATAAATGCTAGTTTTAACCAGTAGACTAAATGCACCGCATGCATGAATTTTTTATCAGTTCTTAGGGATGTGACGGATGGGACAACTGTTTTTGTACCACTGAGTAATCATGTTCCTAAACAGTTGAAATGAAGTTTCGTCGGAAAAAAAGGTGCAGGACCAATCATTATTAAGGTATTCTTGGACCTATCTTACCCATTTCTCTTTATGCTCTTCCGTGTTGCAAGGAGGAGGGAATTCTGTAACCATTGATGCAAAGTTTCTGAAAGTTTACTTACCAACTTACCTACTGGTATTGTAGTCGTTCGTCTGATAAACTGACTGATTGTATGCATTACACTTGAAGTGACTTTTATTTGATGACCTGCGCCCCTTCGTTAAACCACATTACTCGTCTCCTTTAATTTTTTCAGGTTACAATATATTGTAGAGAGGCTAATGTTCGTACACAACTGAATTTCTCTCGCAAAGTGAATTTCTTTACTTCACAAAAGACAAATTGCTTCGCGCTACTGGTTTTTTGTTGAAAGGATCATTTTACTCCATTATTTCTCGCAGAAAACATTATATATAAGAGAGGGTGAGAATGAGTGGGCTATTCTTTGATAAATAAAGTATGATTACATATGTCGAAAATTCACTTACCTCTTGTAGTTACGAAATTACGTTGGATGATCATCATGTGAAAAATTTCCAAATAATTTAAAAATTCAAAGAAATAAAAAATTATACTTAATATTTGGACATTCCTTTTTTTTTTTAAACCGCAACTGGTATTAGATGCAAGCCCTTTTATTAAGAATTTACTTAACAGTGGCATGACATCAATCATCTCATATAAGTTATATATACTGTATATAGATTAATGATAACCTAATGTACTAATACTATATAAGTGAATAAACCTATTTAAAGACCAGATGATTAATACACAATCACAAATGACAAGCCTAGGTTAATTAATATTGGGCTTACATTATTATTTATTTTTGTAGGTACCTAACTAGATAAATTATACTCTTCAATATTTTTAGATATTATTTATTCAGATTTTGGAAAAGGTTCTTTATTATTATCTGTGATAAAAAATCAATTCCCATTAATCGATTTTCAATTAAGCAAAATATCAGATTGAAATATCTTGAACTAGGAGAATAAGAGTCCTGAAGTTTGCTAGAACTGAGTGTTTTATTGAAACATTTGTGAAAAATTAGATTAGAAATCTTTCTTTATACAATTCTTTCAATAATATAACTATAGATCTTAACTCCTAATCTACAAAAAATCAGAAGTTCCATCTTTATACAATCTAATCTAAATATAATTTTGTTTTGAATAATTGGATATAACTTTTACAAGATAATCAGTAAACCTGATTAGAAGATATTATTTGAGTTTTAATTCTTAAGTAATATTGAACTACAAACCTTATAATTGTAATCTGATTGTATTATAAATCTATAAATTTATTTATTTTTTTAATCTACAATTATGCTACAATAATATGTCTTTATTAAGATATTGAAAGATACCACAATATTTAAAACTTTCATAAAGCAATTAAGTTGTTATTATATATTATTAGTTAAAGGACTATACTACTTAAAAAATATAAGGAGTTCACTAAACTATTTTGAACTAAACAAAACTAAATCTAAATTAGATATCCTAAGTCAGATTAGGAAACAATATTATGTTCTCTTAGTAACTTGACATGAAGTCTCTAAGTTAATCAAGATCATTACCAATAGGTTATCACTGTTGATTATCCTGAAAAATAATGAATTACTAAAGTTGACACTGAGAAAAAATGGGAAGAAAAAATACAATACAAAGTCTTTCAAAAGATTTTTGCTCCATTTCATAGTTTCCTCTCAAAAGGAGTTTGGCTGATTGAAATATCTTCTAAGTTTTATGATATTTGAGGAACTCAACCATTCCTGAAAATAACTTCAAGAAGAATATTTGAGGAACTTATTCTTTTGCTTATATATAAATTCACTTAATGCTATTGGAGTCAACACTATATTATAAAAGAGTTTGCCCGATTAGAATAAAAAAATCTTTTTAAGAACTTTGCCTAACTGGAATAGAAACTTGGAGATCTTAGCTTTTGTTCAAAAAAGCCTTTTTACTACCTAAGGAACTTAATAAGAGATAGGAGTTAGATCTTCTATTCTTACCTATTGCTTACCTTTCAGTATCATAATTGTTTTCTGAAGATTGAATATATATAATTGAAAGGGTCACTTTTTCTAGAATTTTCTTTTCTACATTACCAATGATATATTGAGACATATGAGTGTGACCAATAGGAGCTTATTTATATTCCAAAAACTGATATGTTTCATGTCAACCAATTACCTTTGATAAGGATTTATGTTACTCAAAATTCAAGGTCAAATTGAAGTAAATAAAATTCCTCTGAAAACTATAAACATGGGAGCTTTAAAAGGATCAAGACAGTCAAAAAGAGAGAAAATAAATTTTTTTATTATAGAAAACCTCTATAAGTCTCTTACTTCAAAAGTTAAAAAAATCTTTAGGTACTTCATAGTCAGTTTTTCTTTCTTTGAAAACTTTGTTACCATTTATATTAAAGGTGTTACTTGACTTTTCTTTATCACTAGAAGTCAAGTTTTTGAGTATAGACAATAGAAAAAAGGTATAAGTGATTCTTGAAGTTATACTTCAAGTTGTTTTAAGGAAAGTATTAAGACTTTATTAGCAAGAAAGTATAAAAACTTCTTGTGAACATCTTTTTTGTGTATAGTCAGAGAATTAGTGGAAAGAGTTTTTAATTTATTTTTATATATACTATGTATAAAGATGGGTCTTTAAAGGAGAAGGCAGGAACAAAGATCAAATGCTCCTCATTAGGAAATATTAAAAATTTTAAATTAATAACTATAAAAAACTATTTACAACTGTTTTCTATTATTCAAATCATTAATTTATAACATTTCCTGACTTTTGTCCCTATTAAAGTGAAGAGCTATGAATTTGTCCCTCAAAAAGAGACATATGTAATCTGTGAAATTTTATATATTAAATACTTTAGGAATTTATCATTAACTGTATATAAAATCTGCTAATTCAATAATTATATATATATTTCTTTTTTAATCCACAGTCAGGTCAGTATAGCTTGTTTTTATTGTATATACAGTATAATAGATATTTACAAAATATTTTAACTTTTACATACTAACTTACCCATTGTCAATAAACTATTTTTCTAGATGCGACTTAAGAAAAACTATATATGTATTATATTTTAGTAACAATTTAAAAATATATAATATAATCTTAAATTTTATACAAATTTAAAATACTATATATAAATAAATAAAAATTAAATAAAAACACTTTTTTATAAATCTTTTCTTTTGGAAAATTTTTATTTTTTAATAATTTTTTTTATATTTCTTAGACTTTATAAAGAGTTTTTAAAATATTATAATACTTTGAACTTAAATAAATATAATTTCAAGTAATATAAAAAATCATATTTTCAAATTAATAAAATATTATAATAGAAATTTAATTAACAAGAAAAAAACTATTTTTTCAACTATTATAAACAATATTTTTTATGACTCAATATAATAAACAAACATTAATTTTTGGTTTAAACAAAATTTTTAATATTAAATATAAATATACAGTTGCTTCCAAAAATTTGAGTTCACTTATTATATTTTTATTATAAAATTCAACTTTAATAAATTTTAAATCCTTAATTATATAATCAAAAATTATAAAATTCATATATATTATATCTTAATACTAGTTTTATTTATTATATTTTTCAAATCTATAGATCAATAACATAGTGGTAATATTCCCAAGTCACAATTACAAGATTTATAGTTCAATATTACTTAAGAATCAAAATTAAAATTGTCTTTTGATCAGGTTTACAAGTTTACCAGTTATCCTATAAAAGTCATATTTAATTTTTTTTTTTTTAAACCCTCTGTCAGGCCAGGTATGTGTGCTTTATTAAACATATATATACTTTACATTAAAAATGTATTGCTAAAGTTAAGTCTCTACCTAACTCACTCATCTCTATTTTAAGAATTATTAAAACTCTAAGTGCAACTTCGGGAGTAATTTATCGCTCTGTTAGCAGTTCAAGTAAAGACCCTTCCAATTGTTAACTTCATTGCCTGCAGGTCACTACTGCAGATCACTCTGTGAGGTTCTGACAGAGCTTAAAACCCAACCATTTCATTCCATACTCCACTCATC